GCTTCAACGCTCTGACATTCGACCCTCTTTAGCGTCTGGGCGTAAGAGAGCTGCCGGTAGGTGTCTTTCGTANCTGCCTTGCCAATGCTCCCGCGAACAGTAGGCGTCGTTGTCGGATTGTGGGCTTCAACGCTCTGGCATTCGACCCTCTTTAGCGTCTGGGCGTAAGAGAGCTGCCGGTAGGTGTCTTTCGTACGCTTGTACCCGATACCTCGAAGGAGCAGTCGGTGGTGTATCGACCGCAGCGTCTGATAGTGGCCGCTGAGCGGTGACCATGCCATGCAACCGTACAGCAGTGCAGTGCCTCCATCGCCTCCGCCTGGGGCAGGCGGATCTTGAGTCGGAATGGCGCTTGCGGCCTGTCGTAGAGCTCCCGACCGTATCGCCTGAGGCACGCTCACGCTCCTCTGCTCCTCCTGTAGTTGATCTCCCGGGTGAGGTCGCCATGTTCGTTGACGAGGCCACCGAGATACCGGAACTCGGTCGTCTGGGTGTATTTCTGCCCCGCGGCTTCGATGGCCAGCGGTGGAGGCGGGGCGGACTGTGATGTTGTAGTCGGCTTGTCCTCTNGTGGTGTATCGACCGCAGCGTCTGATAGTGGCCGCTGAGCGGTGACCATGCCATGCAACCGTACAGCAGTNTGAGGTCGCCATGTTCGTTGACGAGGCCACCGAGATACCGGAACTCGGTCGTCTGGGTGTATTTCTGCCCCGCGGCTTCGATGGCCAGCGGTGGAGGCGGGGCGGACTGTGATGTTGTAGTCGGCTTGTCCTCTGCGCGCATCAGGAGCGTTTCCGTCTTCTTCTCCGACACCGTCAGCCCGAACTCCCCGAACACCTCAACGATGATGGTCATCAGTCTCGCCAGTCCTTCTGCAGACCTCGATACGACGCCGGCATCATCGGCATACAGCGATCCCCCATACTGCCCTCCGTACTCGGTCAAGGGGTGTCTCCTCCCCCCCGCTTCCGTCGTCCCCTCCTCCAAGCACACCATGCTCCGCAGAACAACATCATCCTCGCTGAATCGGATGACAACGACCTCGAGGACCTCGGCGAAGAAGATGTTGAACAGCAGTTGGGATAGCACACATCCTTGTCGCACGCCCTGTGTCACGAAGAACCAGTCTGATAGTTCTCCGTCGTCCATGCGCACCCGGGCCCGCATTCCATCGTGGAATTGGCGGATGACTTCGATCAGCTTCGCGGGAATCCCGGCCCTGGCCAGCACCTTCCATAGCATCTCTCGGTCCACCGGATCATACGCCTTCTTCAAGTCGACGAAGCACATGTAGAGCGGTATTTCTTTCTCCGCCCCAGCTCCTGGAGGCGGCGCACGACGAACAGCGTGTCGACGGTGGATCGCCCGGGTCGAAATCCGCACTGTTCCTCCGGGAGGATGTGGTTGGCTTCGCGGAAGGCGCTTCGACGGTTGGTGATGATGTTGATGGGGACCTCGCCTACGTGAGATAGTAGCGAAATCCCCTGTCGTATGTATCCCGTCGAAACAGCAGTACAATGGAGGCCAATGGCTGGAACGGTCGGTAGTAAATTGTGCACAAGAACACTTGGTACTGGTCGTCGGTGCACGTTCCTTAGGAGGAGTTGATGTAACATCTGCTCTGCCCCTCCCCGCCACGCAAAAACGCCCCACAACCTAACGCTCCACGCATGGTTCTCGGGAGATAGATGCAGTCGATTGCGGTGCAAACCAGCCACCTGCATCGTCGACTTGAACGTGACTCTTCGCGTCGTGTGGGGTTCTTCGTTGTTGACGACCTGTGGGGGTCCTGAAGTAAGAAGAGGGGGGGTTTGGTTGTTCGGTGAATCAATACAACAACGGACGCGTTCTCAACAACAGAGACGAGCTGTTGCACCAAACTTGCAGGAAGGGCGGACGGGGCCAGAAGGGACACCTCTTCCAACCCACACGAAAATCTGTCGATGATATCTCGAGAAACATCGCCCGAAGAAAAATACTTGACTTGCTTTTAAAGAAGAAACCGGAGATCGCCTACCCTAAAACCAAGTGAAAAAAAAGGAGTGGGGTCACTTTTGGTGGGGTCAAAATTGAGTAAGTTCTGAGAATTTCCGCAACAGAAAATTGAAGCAAATAGGCTTCAGAACTTCCGCACCAGTCCAACGGACGCGGACGCCTTTCCGTGGTCACAAGTCATCTGCCTGGTAAAGGGCACACGTCGTAAAAAGTCATCAAAGAACATCATCAATGAACAGGGACCTTGGTTTTAGAAATCTACTTAACAAACAAATTTACGAAAATCGCAGAGACCACAACCATACGGATTACATCGCGCTACAGTAGGTGTCCCGATATAATACCGGTATGTGTCCAGGCGATTTGACCGGCACTATGCCGGGCACCGGCACTATTCAGAATTGTGCCTGAATAGTGCCAAACCGGCGCTATTCAGGGCCTAAAAATCCCTCTTCAGGACTGTTCGATTTCAGAGTGCAGCGCTTGCGCTTTGCGGGGCTGACAGGGTACCAAACGAACGGTATTTGGATCAATCGTGAGGTGGGCGACGTGGGCGGGCTTCATTGAGTTTCGTGAGGCTCTTGGACTGTCGAAAACACGGCATTAGTCACATTCAAATTAACTTGATTGACCAGATGGATTTGTTGCACGGCAGCTGTTCTCTTCCGACCTCAGCGCAAGTACTCGCTAGTGAAACGTTGCTGCTGCCTTTCAACCGTAGACCGTGCTGCCCGATAAAAGTTCATCTCGCTGTCAAATCATGATGTGTTGTATTGCACGAAGCCCGTAGCACAATAACTATTCAGGCAACCTCAAAGGCACCCCTTGACAGCGAAAGCAAGACGCTGCATGCACCCGATGTAGTCTACATCTGGAGGTAAGACATGGATGAATGTAGTGCTCCTTACATAAGCACACAAAATCAGATGCGACCTAAAAAAGGGGGGAAGAAGATAGCGAACTCCCCTTCTCCTTCGATAATAAGCTAGAGAGAAGACCAAGTCTTCAGAAGCAAGAAAAACGACTGGCCAACTGAAAGATGTCGTCAGTCTCAGTGCGGTCAAAAACAGAAAATATTTGTTTCTCAAGGAAATGAGAGGGTGTCATGGAGGAGGCTGAGCTATTCTCTGGATAAAAGACAGAAATGGTAGCAACCGAGAGGGGAAAACTACGTGACTGCCAAGGCTTACTACTTTTGAACACGCGTTTGTTCGGAGTGTTTTCAGCCTTCCTTGGAAGTATTTTGTTTACCACCACTACCACACTCTCAACGAATATTTTTCCACATATTTTTCGGGCGTTCAAAAACAGAAAATATTTGTTTCTCAAGGAAATGAGAGGGTGTCATGGAGGAGGCTGAGCTATTCTCTGGATAAAAGACAGAAATGGTAGCAACCGAGAGGGGAAAACTACGTGACTGCCAAGGCTTACTACTTTTGAACACGCGTTTGTTCGGAGTGTTTTCAGCCTTCCTCAGAAGTATTTTGTTTTCCACCACTACTACACTCTTCACCAATATTTTTCCACATATTTTTCGGGCTTTCATCTCTAGATTCTGCGCCCCTGCGGCGTTTATTGTGAGGAAGGTCATCTCGCTCGAAACTATTGTTCTTCTCCTCAACGCCATTTTTTCCTCCTGCATCATCACTGCTATCCTTGGCTATATTTTCCATGTCCTTCGTCACTACCATCTTCCTTTTAGCTCGCCTCACTATTGAAATCCCAGCCTATTGGTGGAGCCTAGTCGATCGGTAAACCGTGACATTTGAAGACGTCACGCGTACCGAGAGAAACCGAGCTATTTTTGTAGCTCGAAGGGAAACTGTCTCCGAATCCTGTTGGCGTGAAAGGCTTGAGGCGAAAAAAGGCTGTGTGTGGGGTGTGAACCGGCACTATTGAGGGGTTCGATAGCGCCCGAACCGGCACTATAGCGGGCAGCCCTCAATAGTGAGGGTTTGGCACTATACCGGACTTTGACACTATTCAACCGGCACCATAGCCGGACACCTACTGTAGTCGGTTGTGCACTGATCCTCCTGCGCATGAAAGAAGATTCAACGAAACAAAAACAAAGATGACGTGTCTCCAGAAAAGCACAAACAGAAACAAGAGTTGTCAAGAGGGGGTAACTCATCCTCGCAAACTTGGTAGACTATGGATTCTAGGATGTACTGAGCAAAGATCGGAGAGATCATGATTTATTGTGAAGATAACATCAACATCATGCAGCTGATTCTAGTTCATCGAAAACCCAGCATTCTCCAGGCGCCTTCCGCGCAAGACACGGCGGGACACATGACTCCGGTATAAGAAAGCACTGCATCAACTACTCGATCCAGCTCTGGCCGTGAATGCCAGGACTTACATGCAGCGAGCTCGTGCCACAGCAGCGTAGAAAAACGTTCACACACACAGCGAAAACACTGCCACGGAAGCCGCCAGATCCGAAGACACTCAGGCGATTCTAATCCAGCTGGGGCACGAACATCCCCATTAGATGAATCGATGCCAAGCAACAAAAAACAACAAACAGACACGCACGCAAACAAATAGATGTAACACAAAATGTGGTGGGGGTGGGAAAAGAAACTCGGCGGCCTGTCGATGGACGGCGATGTTTGTGGTGAGAGCGTCCTCGCCGATACGATCGCACGCGTATCTGACTAAGGTTGTGGTATTCCCGAGGCCACGCACCATGATGATGATGGTCGTGTCGACGCCCGCTCAATACAACGTCCGCATCGCCACATCCACGCCACGTTTCGGGGCACCAGCAATACCCCCCTCGCTGACCCTGCGCACCCCTGCTCAGAAGCGAGCCTACGCACGACATATAATACCTCCACACAACACGTTCTAATTACGACGGTGCTTTTTCCCCGTGCTCGCATCACTCTCCTCCAAGGCGGTGGAAGCCGCATCCTTCACTATCGGAGGGCCCTTAACACGCTGCCAGCCCCGCTGCTACTACCGCCGCTGCCTGCGGAGGACGCTCCAACACCGGTCCGGCTTCCGCCACAGCCATCTTCGCCTTCCCCTGCAACGGGACCGGCAGCGGCGGCGGCGGCGGAGACAGCAGCAGCAGCATCGTCCGTCTGCATCGTTCTTGCGCCTACGTTCTGACCGGGTGGGGGCGCGACGGGGTCGACTTCGTCGGCTTCGGCAGGCGCGGCCGGCTCCAGCAAGCTAGCGATGCGCTTGATCGATCGCGCGATGCTGGCGTACCGAAAGGTCCCCCTGTTCTCCCCGAAAGGGTCGACCAGCTTCCCGCCGTCTCTGCAGCGCGACCAACAGCCGGGAAGAGCAAGCGACAGCGGCGAAGGCAAATTAGCTCATCAACCGTTTGGGTTTCGGGGGTGGTCGGGACAGAACTACAGTAGCGGGACCTGGCCAGTATCAACCTCTGGGCTACCGAACTCGCTATCCCTGTAGGGAGAGTTTCAGTAAGAGCAGATTAGATACGCTTAAAGAGTGCAATCGACACATCATAAGAGCGAGAATTGGATACTACATGCCCAAGAATTAATATATAACCCTCTTGCTAGAGAGCAAGGAAATACCAACCACGCCGAGCTTACTTTCCCGATGAATGGGAATCCCAAAACGGAAAAGGGTGGCAGACACCGAATCTTTCAAGTCTCAACAAAGCCGTTGCTCTCTTCAGTCTCAAAAATAAGCATGTCAAGGGAGGCGACGCAAGCAACGCACCTGTGCATGTTCTGCTCGCACACGAGCTCGTAGCGGGGAACGAAGGACAAAAACAGGTCTCGAGTAAGCGCTTGGAAGCAAGCCGGCATGCTATTCGACAGGCTGCCGACACGAAAAGCAACGGGGGAGGCACGCGATGCCGTCATGGTTATAAGCCGCATCGAGGGTAGGCATTCGACGACAACAAGGTCTTGGAAGATTAAAAAGTGCTGCTGTTCCTCAACATGTGTGCGGTATTAAATTCGAGGCAACACTTCCTCCAAGGTGTTGCTACTATTGTGTACCCTCCTCGAAACTAGCATTCCTGCTGCATCTTTCGAAACGTAAGCCAACGGTGTTGCTCCTTCTTGAGCAGTCCTATCTAGGCTGCAATTCTCCGCAAGGTAGTAGTTGCGAATCGACAACAACAAAAGGCAGCAAACATGCTTGTCCTGAGTGCGCTCTCACACGTAAGCGCCCCTCAATCGCAAGCACATGCCTACAGTCTCGGGGTGCTGGTACTCACCATTTCACGGCGAGCCAAGACTACGTAGAGAGCGCTGAAAGTTCAACCATGAGAATCATCACCAATGTTCGCTCGTCACTCGATGGAGTACACGTGGGCACAGCGGCGTGCGAGCACTGCTGGTGGGCTCCCTCACTTCTTCGCCACCTCACCTGGAGTCATCCGCCATCGCGCACACGGCAACGCGCAAGGTCTCGTGCGTGATGCAGTCGCTGTAGTCGCGCACGTCTTGCGGGTTGGACGCTGCCTCAAACCTATTTCATGTAGTCGGCGTCGACGATGGACAAAGATCTACGGTTTAGCGAGCCATGTGAGGGAAAGTGGTCGCTGTTGCAGGCCAACGACCACTCATCAGGATGCCGCGGTGTTGCCGCGCGTTCGTGGTCGGTGTGCAGGGTGTGTCGCTAAACGGGGGTCGCTGGACCGGCCCATCACCACCGTACGAGGAATGAAACATCGTGCCCTCACCCAGGAACGAACATGGCCAGACGAACAGTGAAAACAACCACAGGCACAAGCAGCGACTGGATCTTTGCACAAATGAAGACACAAGACGTGAAGCACGTCGCACCGCCTCTCGAACGAACGCAAGTCCCTTTTCCCCGGGCCTAGCTTTATGAAAAACAAACTGTTCAAATACTCAGTACCCTTTGTCCACAGCTCACCCTCGCTCGTTTTGGCGGAGGCAGTTCCATCGCTAAATCAGACACCGTGGTCGGGAATACCGAGGAATTCGAAGCTCTTGGACCGTCCGACTTGATTGCGTGCCCCAAGCCCGCTTGCACTCTTAGAACATTGCCAGACGACATGCACCGGACGAATTCGACGTCCATTCCCTAAACGCCCACACCCGACCCCAAGAGTTATCAACAAACCTTTGTAGCAACCCCAGACTTTGACTCATCTGTGTTTTTCTTGGAGCAGACGTCAATGGACCAAGAGGTACTACATATGCATCGACACCTTCAACAACACCGATGCCTTAGGTATTTCCAGCACAAACATGAAAACGAAGATTCGGGGTTGTGGAAGGAACCGCGACATTGCGAGGCTGACCATGGCTCCTTTGCGAACGGCGTCTACGTAGATCTGGTGATTGCCAAGGAAACGGAACGTGTTGAGGCTGGTTTCACCCTGGCTTGTTGTGAACCCATCTACTACGCAGATCTCAGAGTTCTCAAGGAACAGGAAAAAGACGCGGCTGGCTTGCTTACCCTGGCTCGTTGTGGTACGGCTTTTCGTTCATGAGGCTCTGGATGGACAGCAGCACCGATGAGATGGAGTGTACCGGGGTCCAGCGCGGGCCGTTCCACGTGCCGAGGATGCTAGAGAAGTAGGAGAAACGGGTCGACACAAAAAGTTGGTACGTGTTTACCGCAAGCGACAGCAACAAGCAGTGGCAGCAGGGGTGCGGTCCCGCCGGCTACTTGTCACAGCAAAAAAGCAGTCGAGTTTTTCAAGTAACGTGCACAGGAAAGCACTGCTACGCTACTGTAATACCCGTTGATTTTTCCCATCACCCTCCCAAGTTATATTTGTAATCTCAAGACCGCTGCATAAGAAGCAAACAACGAAAGAGAGCCGGCGGACCAAAATTACCTGAGGCAAACCTTGCCGTTGGCGTAGAGATTGGGGTTGAAACGTACGGTGCCACCTCCGGTGGTCATGAGCCTCACTCTTGGGGGGCTGTGGGGGTAGTCGTCCGGGCAGTGCAGCACAAAGTAGAAGAACCCTGACGTCACGCATTACGTGGCATGGCAAAAGACGCGTCATCACACAGAACACGGAAATACATTCCTCCGCAGCAACCAGAAAACGAAAAAAAATTAAAGCATCGTGTACATGAAACTACTGACGTCAACATCCCATGCTGCTGTAGTGGAAATAAAGCACACGGGGTCGGGAGAAACGTGGTCACAGACCTCGCGTGAAAGAACAAAGAGAGGAGGCGGGGGGGGTTGATCTACAAATATCCTCCTAAAATAACTGGGGGTAAATGAAAAAGATGGAAGGGTTTCAGCGCACGCTATGCATGCCTCCACACAATCTCCTCACCGCGTCCGGACGAATCCTCCGTGGTCAAAAAGAGACAACCATTCGCCCGGTCGTCTCAGCAAAGAGCCCACGCAATCGTGATGATAAATATAGATGAAGCCTGCGGCTGCATGGCGCGCACCCGCCCTGCAGAATAACTAGAAGTAGAAGATAATGGCGCACCCAACAGCAAGGCTTGAGACCAAAAACCGCGCCGTAGAAGCAAGAGAGGCAAAAAAAAATTGTAGACGACGAACTCTGCTTTGGGGGGTTTCACCTCCTTCGTATGGCGTGTCGAACGGCCCAGTGACCAGGGCGTGCACCACCGTAACCAAGTCCTCATCGGGGTAGACAAACAGGCCGGGTATGGGATCTCTGCGATTCGGAAGGTTACCCATTACAAGCGCGTTGTATCGTAGGCCAAGGTCGTCAAAGAAAGACCAAGAATGGTCGGGAACACAACTTTTGGGGACCAGACAAGCGAGGCAGGCGCCCAATCGTGCCCGACCCAGTGCTCGAGCAGACCAAGACCGAGTTGTCGTATGCATAGGAACACGGGTCAGCGGGAAAAAAGAGAAGCAAGATCCGAAAGTCAAGACCAAAAAAAGAAAAAAAGCGGAATGATAGAAACGAGACAAGCGAGCCGGAATTACGCAGTACACGCACCTCATGGCGCTGCGGATGTCGTTTCTCACTCTCCGGATGCACTCCCTTGACGGTTTGCTCCGGCACAATGAGGGCATCCAATTATACTTCTCGGTTCCACCACCGCCACCGCCACCACTGCCGCTGCTGCCACTCCCAACAGCTGCGGCGTGCGCCCCTGCGATCGCTGCAGCAGCCTCCCCTTTCACCGGGGAAGGAACGCCACCCTCGCCAGTCCCCCCGGTACCCTTGCCCTTGCCCTTGCCCTTGCCCTTCCCGTCAACAGCGTTGTCGACGTCTACTTCCTCCTCTCCGCCCGGCTCTGCTGCTGCTGCTGCTGGTATACTCTCCGAGGACGGGCAGACATGTACAAAGGACGAGACGGGTGCTGACATCGACGGTGGTCCTCCCGCCGCAGGGGTAGTGGTTGAAGGGGGTGTGGGGAATTCTCTCTGCTTCATTTCCGCCATGGTGTGGACACCACAAGGCGAAGGGACTCGGCACGACGCGCGTGACGACAACCTGCGGGAAAACCAGCCGAGATTTTGTCATGACATGTCCAGTGCATAGTACGGGCCAATACATGAAGACGTACGCGGGGGGCGGGTGCCTTCGTCTAACAAGCGGGGCGATTCATACCGCTGCTGTTGTCGCCTCTGTGGATGCGTACCGTTGAGGTCGAATCACACGTCAAGTACGCGCACTGCCTTTGATCTGAGGAGAAAGCGGTAAATGCCAAAGGAGTAGAACTGCTGCAAGGCATCGAATCCACTGGCCTCCATGGAGATCACGAATCAAAACCAAAACAGCATACAAGGACGAGATGTTACAGCAGTAGGGAGATGAGGTCGGATGAACTACAGATGACTGTGTTTACCACACCCCCATCGGCCTCCTGCTGTGGTACTGCAGCAATACTATTCATTTGTGACAGATGATACCTCAGGCACGTGCCTAGTGTTCGGTACGCGAGCATCAAACAGATTTCCATGCCGCTGGCACATGGAGGCGCCACCCAAGGGGCCGTACGCGTTGCTGTGCACATGCACGCAAAGCACCATGCGAGCAGATCGGCCACCTGCAGTACTTGGAGGTGTGTCGTACCAGAGGGCAAATCGAGGTTTTCTCGGCTGCTCAAGCACAACGCCTTTTTGGAGAATCATCCTCGGGGTACTCAAATGACAGGCTTGCTCACCCCAATTCAGCTGGCGGGAACGATTAGGTAGGCGAGAAGCAGCCGCAGAAGTGAGGACACAGAGCAAGATATAGTCGGCGCCAGCAGGCACATACAGGCAGCGTCGCGCTGTTGTTCTCGTCCGTGAAATCAAACATGGTTGACCCCAACCCCTCGTGTTTTTCTGCACGACACGTTGCCTCCAATAATCGGGGGGGGGGCGCCGCCGCATCCCCCCCGTGGTGTCTCATTTGGGGCCGCTCATTTGCGCCAACAACAGCAGCAGCGTGCATCATTTATAGCCAGGTGGGTCGCTACGAAAGGTGTCAGTGATGGTGGGTACTGCAGAGAATTTATATTTGTTTCAATTTCGATGCACGTCGGGTTATGTATGTAGACTGTTTCACGAAATCCGGCACTGGTGTGGCGTGTAAATACCATTCCAGGCTCTGAGGAGTACTTTCATGTAGTCTATGTACTCTGTGTGCGGAGGATTCAAACTAGAAGATATCGACGTAAAGTACTTCACACTTGCATCCACACCATGAGGTTTGTTGCCTGCCGTGTACAGCAGTGTGCACGACTGCCGTCCTGGACAACCACATGTTAATGATGACGTGATAGATTGAAGTCTGCATACCTAATCGTACATCTGCTGTTACATGTAGCACCAGGCCTGGCGGTGCTTGACTGAAACTCTGTTCCCCTCCGCTAGGACGTCAAACTACTGCTGTAGACTGAGGCGATCGCATTAGCACGCTCACCTTTCTACTCCTGTGGGCTACGGTATGCACTTGGAGATTACCTAGGCACTCCACGAACGGCAACCAACAGTATTACTTCTTGCTCTGTCGTGTTGTTCGTAACCTACTACTGTACTTATCTTTTTTTCGCGCAAGTCGAAGCGAAATGTGTACCCTTGTGGTAGCAGTTCGCCGCGACGTCGTCCGCTTCGGTTGGACCAAACAAGGTGTCGAGGGTACTTATTTTCTGAGAGCAGTGAGCCGACCGGATTAAGGTGAGGGCAACGACAACAACGCCACAGGAGCAAGAAACGGCGACCACAACCCCAGCTGAAAATGCAGTTCCCTAAACCGCGGCATACTGCCTGCCCACCGACCTCAGGGCACGCCGGATAAGGCTAAGCAGCGCCAATGGGGCTTAGGAAGGGGAGTGAGGAGGCGATCCGCCTGTTGGACTCCGACAACAAAGTAGAGTGGGAAGCCGCGTTCCAGAGGTCAGTCGAACCGGATTCTTTCGTCTTCGACAACGACAAGAAGCTCGCGCTATTATCACGTTTTCTCGCTTTCCACCCGTCTATTTACTAGACCCCAAGTGGGGGGAGTTTTTTCCGCGCGCGCCATCACAACAGCATAACCCGTGCTGCGGAAAGTACCTGCAGTAGGCTGGGTCGTGCGCCCCCCGTGAATATGTGTTGCTTTTGTTTTGGTACACACACCCGAAATGTTGTTGATGCGATGTTGTTGATGCGAATCTTTGTTGTCAGCACTCCGTATGCTTTAATAAATGAAGTAGAAAAATATGCCCCACCACTCAGAACACAGCAGCAGCAGAATATATGAACTAGCACGCGATTTGTCGCCGATCGCGAGCCCCTCCTCACTACGCCCTGTCGTGGTCTGCAAACCACACGCGAACACCCTCTGTGATATGCAGATAGTGAAAGCCGCGAGCTGTAGAGGAGGAGATGCGTGGTAGCTGGTCTGAACACGTGCCAAAGTTGGCCACTCGGTGTGGACGAGGTCAAAAAAAGAACACAGCAGCAGCAGAACCAAACCGACACACACGTGTCCCAAATGACAGTTGAAGGACGCCGCAAAGAGAGGACGAACCGGGTGTGAACAAGTGACTTAGGGGTTGGTGCAAAGAAACAACGACGCGAGAAGTGTTCACCTATTAGGAGTAGGCTTGGGCAATCTTTTTTTTGCAGAACGTCGCCAATTGGCGCAGTTATCGATGAAACGGATTGTGAATAGAGTATATATCGGCACCGAACGCAGCGACGCGGGCACGAAATGAGAAACGCTTGGGTGCGGAATGATGGCCTTGTTCCGCTACAGCTTGTGCACTTTTCCGCACCGAAAACGATCCTCAAACGGCTTGTTTATCGGTGCAAAGGTGGTGCGAACACACACACACACACACGGACATCAATTTGAGAACAGTAATTAATTCAGGGGTCGGGCTGACAGGCGGTGTTATTCAACGTGCGCAGAACCCAGGCGGGGAAACAAAAAGGACCCATCTAAAACAGATTTTTTGCGAAAAAAAAACTGCGCTATCGCTCCGTTTTTTTTTTTCGCACGCGCGCTTCGCGCGCGGAAAATACTCCTATTATGCGTCGGCGGTTTATGCGGGATGGTACATGTTGGTATTCACGTGCGGAGAGCGAAAAATGATCTTTGTGTCTGAGTCTGCTCTTAAATGTAGATCTAGAGTAGTTAGGCATGCTTGTGAGGCATGCGTGTTCCATCGTTTTTCACGTGCGGAGAGCGCCGCACGATAACATGTCGAAGTGCTTCTTCCTGTACTTTTAAGTAGTGTTGTCAGACATCGACGGAGCCCTTCGCAACAACAGATTGGCTGGTGATGCCGTCGGCTTTCCGATGTGACTAGCCCTCCACGCACCACCCGGCGTGAGCAGGCTCTCTTGACTTCCCCTCCGACAACCTAGGGTTTTGTTATGGTGCCGATCCCTCCAGCAATCAACACGGCTTCGACAGTGGCTTCGACAGCGACGTCAATACATCAACTGCTGCTATGGACGCGTCCATTCTTGTTCCTCCTCGGGTGGAAAACGATGTGCCTCACGGATCAAACAGACGCAGGGTACGGCACGTCCCGTTTGATCGGCGGAGTCCCCGGAACAGACGAGCGGGTCGCCGACCTCGCTCCTCGCTCGTGATGCGGTTTAGCAAGCCCGAATTTTTCAGCTCTGGCCCAACTTTTTCGAGACACTTTTACCGTGGTTTTCATTCTTGCATTACTTCGGGCTACTTCCATCCCACATCACGCTGGTTGTTGATACACGGGCCCTTAATTTTTTGGTGATGAGGTCTTGTTGTGGGGTGGGGTCCTGTATAATAATAATGAGACATATCCCACCACCACCTCCTCCTCCTCCTCCTCCTCCTCCTCCCCCTCGACACAAGCTTTCTCGCGCTGCGATCGCTCTGAAATCGACAGCTACGCGGCCAGCATCAAGCGCCTGTCGCAAGAGAAAGGGAAGTCTGAGCTAGTGGAGTTGGATCAGTGGTGGCGGACGGTGAGTCGACAATGAAAGCATCAAAACCGATCTCTAGGCTCTTGCTTTTTGTTCTGACCTGTCGGAGCCGGATAATACGTTTTATGTTTCGATGTTTGATTCGAACGCCATCAATACCCAGCCTTCTTTCGGCAATTGACTTGACGAGGATATCAATCTTGGTGTTAGTAGGGGGTACGGTGTGGTGTTAGGGATAGGGATGGGGATACGAAACCCCCCTTTCTATTCAATAGATTGATGACATAAGCCTCGCGATTGCAGTCCTCTTTAAAAACCCCAGGGCAAGAAACGGGCTACTGTTCGTCATTCGCTCTCCCGCGGCCAAACCATCCCATCTATCATGCACTTTTCTTGATCGAAGGAATTGCCGGCGGCCCTTGTCTCTCGCGGAGCAACGCCGTACCTGTTGAAGGACGAGCTCGTGAAGGTCGTGCAGTGGAAGCTGTGGATAGGCCAGATGCGGCCGTCCCTCCTCCAACGCGCGAAAGAGACCAGCGCAAACACGGTACGTGCGTGCCCTTGTCTTTTCTGTTTGGTCCAAGTGTGGATGACAGGTGTAGAAGTGCTGCAACCATTGTTGTTGCACATACAAAAGTAGGACCAAGATATGATCCGAACGGAGGATCTTACTGATGGTTGATCAGCAAGAGACCCGACTATGGATGCGTCCCTGTTGGCGCCACCTGTGGAGCTTAGGAATCCGAGACCCTCGGGCTTGGTCTCCTTCGCCCCTTGGGCGGCACACTTTCTCTTGTCTCTCTCGTCTGAGACCCTCTACTCTCTAAATCTCAACGAAGAGAACTGCCAGCCCTTAGTAGTGGGTAAAGACTACTGCGACCTGGGCCTCCCCACAACAAGGGAAGCCTGTGTCCTTATTGGCGTCGACGAATTACAAGATGCTCTACTGGTACTGGAGGTAGGGGTGAGAGATGGCGAAAAAGAAATGAGCCGTGCAACGCGTCGCGAGAAGGCAGAAGAGGCGGAGAGCAGGAGGCTCGAGGAGCAGCAACGACGCCTTGAGCTGGAAGCTGAGCTAGAGCAGCTACAGCAACGCCTCGCCGCTAAGCAGCCGACAACCCCGCTGGCACGTGGGACACCCTCGGAACGCGTGCCTGCTTCACGCCCCTCGGGTGGTAGCAGTCCTCCGGAGGAAAAGTCGGATGACCCCGAGGCTGCCGACCACGCTAGCAACACGAGCGGTGGTGACGGTGGCGATGATTCGGGCGAGCGTGACAAGTTCTTCGGCGGCGGGGGTAGAGACGATGAGGAGGACGTCCCCCCTGCCGCCGGCCGGGAGCAGCAGAGGGATTGGGTAGACGAGGACGAACCCGAGGAGGAGTCCGAGGTTCTTTTGTCTCCGGCTGGAGCATCCATCGTGGAGATGCTGAAACGGCACCACCGCGATGGGACCGACCCTCCGGAATGGCTCATGTCTCTTTTGCTGCCCGCCAACTCGCGAAAGGTGAATGCTGTAGGTGGTAGCATGACTGCTGTCCGACACGACCCCCAACTTTAGCAGTGAGGGTAGTGCCCGCCCGAACCTCCGGCGTGACAACAGCATACCATCCAATTTTGCTCAACAGCAATCACCCATCCCGTCTCGGCAATTAGTAAACGATTTTCCCCCTCACTCCGTATAGTCTAGACCCCACGAGAAATCGACAACACCAGCAGGACTAGCGACCCTTTCGTGATGCCGAATGCCTCACCTACACTCTCTACTGTTCGCACTGATGAACACCCCGCTGACGGGTACGTCTGCTCGTTTCGTCTTTGAACCCGCAGACCTACCCAAAGATCTTGTTTTTTCAGGGGCACCTGGGCAAGATATTGTAGAACTTTTGGCCCAAAACCGTGCACGTGTGAAACTGAACTCAGTAGACACCTACCCAGACCATGTAGTCAAGGTGCTGTGCGATACCTCCCGCTTCTTCTGCGAGGGGCTGCGTATGGCACCCTGTTGCAGTTGACCCAGGGGACGCTCGAGTGGCGTAACGCAGAACAGTTGGCTGACCTTCGTGCAAAAGGTGCAAGTACTCGGCCGATGGCTCCTTCCTCCTGGGCCGAATACTGTCACGCTCTTTACTTTCAGTGCTCTGCTCCCAACCGCATTTCCATTTTGGCTCCACAATTTGCCACGTTGGAACAGGCAGTAGATCAGTCCGTGGATGCCTACGCATTGAGAGTCACACAAGCACGCGCGCGCCTTATTGCAGAAGCTACTCGATCCGCCCCACCGAATATTAGCCCTCACGAGCACGCCTAGGATGTGGTATTTACCACTGCAACATTTGAAAACGGCTCAATCCCAAAAATCAGAGTGGACACTGTTCGAGAAGACGCAACTATAGGTTTTCAAGAAGCACGAGGCAAATATTCTAAAAGGCATTTCCCCCACAACCCTTGATACTGCCCACGCTTCGGCTGACTCACACACTGACCCGCCACAGCTGCGGTCCACGGTGGAGGCTCACACCTCCGAACTCCAGGAGTTGGCTGCTGAAGTCAAGCACCTCAAGTCGTGTGCTGCCGCCACAAGCAGCCAACCCCGGGGGCCGCCGCAGTGCGCCAGTAGTAAGACACCGCAACAAGAGCGCACCTCCTCGTACTCGGGGTCCGCGCAGACGGACAAACCGAGGACAAAGCCCAAAAGGTACTGTGACTATCCCGGGTGCCCCAGCCCCGACACCCACGACACTGACTACTGTCACCTTCGCCAGGAAGAGAGGGAGGGTGGATGGGAGCGCCGGCCTCTGACGAGATGATGGGGCCCTTCAAGGGACCCCTCGCCCGAAGGGAACAACACCACCGATGCACCAGTGGTTGACAGAAATGAGGTAGCGCGAGTTGCCGTACTTTGCTCAACTAATGTTGCCATGAAGCGTGAAAAACGAGGGATTGCATTTTGCATCGGGCACGAGAAGTGGATAGAACTTCAGGCCGAGTTCTTGATAGGATTAATTATGTTACAAGTAGGGAGGTGATTGAATCAGTGGGTTCTCTGGAAGCAGAAACACCTAGGGACTATTTTTTAGTAGTGCAGGGCAACCCCGAAAAGGGAAACGTACGAGTATCAGACCCTAAGCAGTAGTCCCTCTAACACGTCATGTTCCGCCTGGAGAGGCTTTCAATACAAAAATTAAACCATGTGGGTTTTCGCGCGCGTTGCGTCGTGGTTCACGGTTTGCAGCTTTTCACGCGTCTGCGTTGAGTAAATATCCGAAATTTCCAACTGCATTGAACTCCACCTCGAAACGGGTACATATTCCCGCTCGAGTGAACAACCACCCTTTCTTTGAAATCACAATTGACACAGCCGCTGATGTACCTTGTGTTCAGCGAAATTTTTGCAAGAGCACCCCACACTAAAAAATAAAAAGCCTTGTCCAGTACCACCTGGAGCGATACAATTAAAAAGTGCTGACGGGTCACCTCTCGAAATTTTTGGATACCTACGGTTCAATCTCACACTAGTTGATATCACATTACCAGTAGAAGCATTGGTTTTACCGAACCTGGGTCCAGATAACATGTTGCTAGATAACAGCATCATGAACGCCTTTGGCGCAATTTTAGACCGATGTGGTGAAGAATTATCTTACAAAAATTCTGTGCTGAAAATACTCGCAACCCACCGTCGAACACGGGATCAAACATATCATGACAGTGCATCAGCACAGATTTACGTTATGACACTTGACCCGTCCGAAGGTGCCGTGCCAGTATATCTTTGTAGGAAGTACTGCAGTCCTCCGAAACATGAAATGGTCGTTGTGGTCGTGACTAATCACGCCCCAAAGGAGACCAGTCCTGCAGTAGTTGAGCCACGAATTATCACTGCCGAAGATATTGAATCATCTGATGATACCCCTCAAGCATTCCGCCGCATCGTTGTCGCGCGAACAGTCTGTAACTGGTCTGCAATTGATAAGACAGCGGTGATCCAGATAGCTAACCCGTCTGATAGGCATGCTCACCTGGACCGGGATATTATTATTCTAGGGTATATTGCTCCAGTTAAAACGGTGTCTGAAAAAACGATTAGCGTCGTCAACGATGACCATCAAACATTTGGGGAAAAGAGAGATGAGCTGAACAAGGCGATGAAGAAAGCGTTTATGGATACCACATTCTCGCCCCAATAATGCTCACACCTTCTCGATTTATGTGCCCGTTACAGGAATGTGCTGTCTCAATCGCCGAAAGAACTGGGGACATGCACCTTGACCGAAGCAGAGTTTCGGCTCGAGCCCGGTACAAAACCTGTTGATCGGGCACCGTACCGTGCAAACCCACGAGCACAAGAAGTTATCGATAAATGTACAGCACAAATGGAAGCTGAGGATATCATTGAACAGCGACCTAGTTCTTGGGGATCGGCGGTCACTATTGTAGCAAAAGCCGACGGAACCCGTCGATTTTGTGTGGATTATCGCGGTACCATCATCAAGAGTTTGATTCGAAAATCGTGCCCTATGCCCGATATCAATGCCCACATTGTTACAGTAGGGGGAGCAAAGTTTGTCACTGCTGTGTGGGACGTGCAGAGCGCGTACCACCAGATACCTATTGCTGCAGCGGACCAAGACCGACTTTGTAACTCAAAAAGGAAAATAGGTTTTTAAACACCTCCCTTTTGGAATGGCGAACGCCCCGTTTTTATTTGCTCGCATGATGTCATTCGCATTTGCACATTTGGACCCCGAAGTGGCCTCCTCGTTTACATGGATAACATGATTTGCTGTAGTTCGGCTTGAGAAAGTCATCTAACGTTGTTAGAAAATACTTTCCAAGCCCTTCAAGCCGCAGGGCTCAGATTAAAACCGTCCAAGGTACCATTCGGACTAAGAGAAGTACTTCAACATTTAGGTCACATTTTGTGTGCGAAAGGAATTCGAATCGGAGAGGACCGCATTGAAGCTATTGTTGACCTGCCCGCACCTAAAACGATCAAGGAACTCCGTTCAGTTTTCGGCACGATAATTTTTCTCCCGGACTTGTCCACGGTGTTAGCGCCGTTGGTAGATCTCTCTAAACGAGAGCGCGTCAAATCAATCGCAAAACGTTGGCGAAACGAACATGATGAGGCGTTTGCGACAGATATACGACTGCTCACGGAAGCACCAATTTTCCATTTTCCCTATTTTACCGAAGACTTCGTCGTGCACGTAGATGCCAGCGAAGCAGGTGCTGGAGGTTTCCTTGCGCAGCAAACAGGAGATGACTTTAACACTATTGCATATATTAGCCAGCGATTCAACAATGCTCAGCGCCACTATTCCCCAACCATGAAAGAATGTTACGCAGTCGTACTAGCAATACAACACTGGCGGCCCTGTTGATGGGGCAGACATTTTGAAGTCGTGACGGACCATGCTGCGTTGAGTTACTTCTACACCATGCAGGACACTTCAAATATGCTGACTAGATGGGCTATTGCTCTGCAGTCGTTTGACTTCACCGTGCGACACAAGCGGGGGAGGTTACACGTCGTTCCGGACACCTTTTCTTGGTTGTTTGCTTTTGAGTGCCAGCAACACTATGAAGCCCCGAAACTAACACCGATTGGTAGGAATATCCACAAGGATCCTGCTTTGCATGTAGCTGTACCGAACAGACCTTATCAAGTGGCCTCAGACCGGCTGGAAAATTTGAAACCAATGCAAAGTGATCGCGAATTGTTCACCATTAATTCGGTTTACATCAGCGCGACCAACGTTTTTGAAACGATGAACCGAGACATCTTGCGGGAAAAACAAGCAGCCGAGTATGGGAAATACATCGACTATCATGTGGGGAAAAGCGCTCGAGCCCCGGACAACGAAACAGCAACAACCATGCCTTATTTTTTTGTACGAGACGGATTGCTGTTCCAATCGCATTCACCAGGTTACCTCAGGAAACGGAGTACTTTCACTGATCAATTAGTATTGCCGCAAGCTCTGACGGGCTTAGTTTTGCATGCTTGCCACGATCACATTTTGTCCGGTATCACCTAGCATCTAGACCGACCTATGACAAGATCCGCCGGATATATTGGTGGACAAACATGAGCCGCGACGTTCACACTTGGTGTTAGGAATGCCAAGCATGCCAACGTCGGGAAACCGCGCACAATCGCACCAAACTGCCAAGTGGACACGTACCAATACAACGACCGTTTGAGCGAGCGACTAAGTTGAATACAACAGCGAAACGGTGTCAGCCGCCGGCGTACGATGCAGATATGTCCTCTCCATGATGGACCATCTAACCCGATTCACCGTGTTGACTCCGATTCCGAATAAACCAGCTGTCACAGTTGCTCAGGCTATCATTGACCGCATCACAGGCATATTTGGACCTCCTGAGATGTTGCATTCTGATCAAGGGCCTGCAATTGAGAATAGTGTGATCCACTAGTTACAGAGTATGCTGAATTACAACAAAACCCGCACGACACCATATCGTCCGCAAGGGAATTCTGTGTCAGAACGACTACATTCAACGATGCACGCAATGCCTGCCATTCATTGTTCAATGAAGTGTGATCATTAGGCATTGCTACTACCCTTCATACAACTGGCGCACAACACTTCTTCTCGTGCTACCATGCATGAAACTCCATTTTTTCTCATGTTTGGTAAACAACCACGACTACCTGTCGATATCATTTTCGGTATTCCTCATGTAGGAACAAC